GGAAACCTTTATAATCCATCATATCGCAATAAAACCACAACACGATCTGTCTCCGTATTTTTCTTCATCAATAAACTTATATGTTTCAGGAACAATGTAATTTACTAACTCTACTGCCTTTTTACAACTGATTTCTTTTATGTCTTTCTTCAGTCTTTGATCACTGCTTGGCCCAATGGATCCTGTGTAACTAATATCACCTATAACATCTATACCACCATCGTTAACTGTCAAAACATTTTTAGTTCCTATTTCTATTATTGTATCTCCGTTTGTATCTGGGTTTCTAAAAAAAATTTGATCTATTGCTCCCGCTAATTGAGTGTGTGTAATACTTACTTTTTCAAAGAAATTACACTACTGCCTAATACTCTAAATTCTGGTGTTCCTGTTGCTCCGATATCTACATCAAAGTCTCCTTCTGATGTAAATTTACCTATTGTATTAACTGTATCATTAAATACTGTTGGTTTATTTAATGTTATTCCGTTAGTATCATTTAAATTTATAAATATATCAGATGATGTCGGGTCTACACTTCTATTTGATTGAATACAAAAATTCTGCTCTATCGTGGCAATATGATTTAGTGAAAAATTGGCGTTTGCTTGTTGATATATTCTACCTCTACTACTGATTAAAATATTATTATTAAATGTATTATTAGAACCATGAAAACTACAATCACCACTAAAATTACTACTGCCTCCTCCTGCTACATTTAGTCGCGTTGCTCCTCCTGCTATTGCTCCAATACCTAAATTATTGCAATATACGGCGCCTCCTGCTGTAGCGGTATTTAATAATAATAAATGATTGGCTATCATTGGATGTATTATAAGCATTAATATTGAAACTATGCATTTTAATATATCCTTGTGCGTTCTTAACTTGTAAAACTGGCGATGCGTCTGTCGTATTTTTAAATACCTCAATGCCATTATTGTTTGTTGAAGTTATTGTATCACCATTCATTGTAATATTATTATCAACTTCCAAACTATCTACTTTCGTAGCTCCGCCTACTGATACAAAATAACCGCTTTCATTTGCTTTGCCTATCCCTACTTCTGCGCTTGTCACACTACCTAATCTCATCCTGTTAGAATTATTAGAAGAACTATTATCATTTGAGATCATAATATTGCCGTCCTCTTCATTTGCGTTCGTGCATCTTAAATTATTATTGAAATATATCCACTGCGCCGTTCCGTCTCTAATTCTTAGTGTTGGGTTTGTGTTATTAGAAATACGCCATAATGAAATACCGTTAGCACTAACTGGTAAAAATACAGTATCATTATTAATGATCATCGCTTCGCTAAAAAATACCTGTTTAAAAAATGTTGTTCCGTTCGTTGTATTATTGCATTCAATATAAGTATTGGTATCGGTGTCATCGTTAGTTCCATTAATTAATCGTATAGCGCTTGTCGTTTCATTTATTGACATGTCTAATGAAATATTTGATTTTGTAGCGTTCGTGTATCTTTCAATACTTGTGTTTGCATCAACTAATTCAATTGGATTAGAAACGCCACCACCTGCTCCTGCTATTAGTGTATCTACTTCTCCTTTATTGTAATATGACGTGGCAATTTGTGCAGATGTTAAATAATCACTTGTTAATGTAGATGTTAGAGCATATGGTGCAAGTGCTGTTGCATCAATCCAGTTATTAGCATCAATTTGAGCCCTGGTGTAATAATCATTATCAAACTGTGTATTGTTCTTATAGTTGTTAGTTAAATTTGTATTAATAGCATTGATAGAATTAAAATTGTCTAATGCTTTTGTATCTACAACTGGAATAGCACTATCAACTTCGGTTTTAGTATAAAAAAATAACATTCAATTGTGCAGTTGTCTGAAAATTATTAGCAAGATTATTATTAATATCAGTCATTACTACATCTTGTCCTGCGTTTTGTGCAATAATAGGATTTACAGCATCGTCTAATTGTTGTTGTGTAATTCCTCCTCCTGATCCTACATTAATATTTGATATTTCATTATCAACATACTCTGTTGTTGCAAACTTGTCGCTTATTTGACTAACTCCAGTGCTGAAGATCTTGTAAATCTCATTAGCGTAAACCGTGTTCATATTATTCAGTGACGCCATTATTAAACTAAAGTAGATTTTATTTTAATTTAATAATGATATCTTACTCAATCTAAAACTGTAGAAGCACTTTCGGAGAGCTCAAAAATGTGCTCACTGACCATAGTAACAAATACTCGTTCAATTCCTAATGCAAAATTTGCGTTTGCCCCTTTAATTTTAAATGTGATCAAGGATCCCATCTTCGTGTTTGATCCAGTAAAATTCATGTTTGTGGCTCCTACACTCCCTGCTGCTCAGAACTTTTACCGCTGCTCGGTGCCGAAAGTCACACAACGTGCAGCCTGCAGTCGAAGCCGTAAGAAACCCTCCTCGTAGCCGCCAAGCCGGAGCTGAAGAGCGGGAAGAGCTGAAAGAAAAGCTTCGCTGCAGAACCAGGCTTTTAGCCGGGCGGGAGGGAGGGCCAGAAAACTTCAGACTCGTTCCGTCCCAAAAACATGCGAAGACATGTTTGTGGCTCCTACACTCCCTGCTGCTCAGAACTTTTACCGCTGCTCGGTGCCGAAAGTCACACAACGTGCAGCCTGCAGTCGAAGCCGTAAGAAACCCTCCTCGTAGCCGCCAAGCCGGAGCTGAAGAGCGGGAAGAGCTGAAAGAAAAGCTTCGCTGCAGAACCGCCCATGTGGAAGCACCGGCCGCCACGAAGAGCCACGCGTGCAAGTAGACGTTGCAGGGCTCGTTTGCCGAAGCTCGGCAGCAGCAGTTCGAGACAAGAAAAACACCGCCTCACGAGGAGTGCACCATGTGCACAAACAAAGAAGCTACCTGCTGCAAGCGAGCTCGTGAGTCAGGGCCCGCTTCTAGCAACGAGTTCAAGGCAGACACTTCTTGAAGGTAATGCTCAAGGGTGCTCTGGCTTTTTAGCCTCATCCTCCACTGGATGTCGCTTATTGGCAGACCTCGGTGGTATGCCCAAACTGCACCGCCTCCGCGGAGCCCTCCAGGGAGCAGCGCGTTCCCGTGGAGGCCCAAGACGTCCATCAGCTTGTCCCACCTGCTGCGGTAGGCAGCGGGCCCTGGGCGGTCGAGCGGCGGTGCTTGCTTGCCCCCCCTCGGGAGGCGGGTCCGCTGTCTGGTCTCCGCTCGTAGCACCGGCCGGCTGGCCCTTGTTGAGCTTGAGGCGTCTCTCGCTGAAGTCCATCTGTTCCCGCAAGTGGGTCAGGGAGATTTCTGCCCACCTCGGATCTAAGATCCGCGAATAAACCTGAGACGCGCTCGAGCTCTGATCTCTCTGGCGGAACACATGGGCAGGAGGAGCAAGTTCCAGCGAAAGTTCCGACGCGAGCACCCAGCTGCCCTTGTCGCAGCTCATTTGATCTAACTGCAGGATCATCAGAAAGAGCCTCGCTCGGGCTTGGTCTATGAGCCCGGCCTTCAGAGCGTCTAAGGCACCCGCGGCTCCCCAAGCCATGTGCATTGCGGTTGGATACCCCCCTATCCTCGACTTGTGCTCGACCCAGGCTCGGGCCGAGGTCTGTTGTTCGAGCCCGGCGCCCGGCGCTGAGCAGGTCAGATCTTCGATCATCAAGCGATCCACGATCACTGCAACGTCGGCAGGGCTGCTTATGAGGGCTTCCCTGAGAGCACGCCGGGCGCTGGCGTTGCGCCGCGTAGAGGGCATCCCTGAAGGATCGGCTGACCCAGACCCTGCGCCTTCCAAAGCCCGTTCGAGAGGAGAGGTCCTCGCAGCTTGGCTCCTCGAGTAGCCCTCCATCATCCTGAACATGGCCGCAGCGAAAGCCTCTGCCTGGGAACCTTGGGATGCATGCTCGCCCGCGGGCGGCCGGAGCGCACCAACACCTCCTTCGGCGACCTCCTGCGGAAGTACGCCCTCCTCGGCTTCGTCCTCCGACTCCTGCAGTGGGTTGGGCCGGGCTGTCGTGAAAGGTTCGGGCTGCATTCGCCCGACAGCGGAGGACCCCAAAAGCCTTTGGAACTCGGACAAGGTGCCGTCGGGAACACCAGCAGCCCGGGCGGCGAGCAGCACGGCAGGGTCGACTGAGCCCGTCGGGGCGGCAGCCCGAGCAACAGCCTTCGCTGAGACCTTCGCCTTTGCCTTTGCACCTACCCGGCCTGCCTGGGAGCCTGAAAGAATTGCAGCGCCCAACAGCCGCTCGAGTCGGTCGAGCCTGGCGCTCAGAGCATCTTTGTGCACGGCCGGCTGGCCGCTCTCGGCGGAGGCAAAAGTGTAGTGGTCGGAGACGGCTGCGACCTAAGCCGGCACGAAAGGGAGGGCAGCCTCGCCGTTCGGAAGAGCACCGAAAGCAACAGAAGGAGCCTCGTCGGAGAACTCGATGGAAGGACGGCTCGACCAAGCCAAACCAAACCCTCAAAACAGCATCGTCCTCGGGCACGCTCCGGGAAGAAGCAGCACAGGCCAACACCTCCGCTGCGCCCACCTTCGTCATAAAGCCTTTCGGCAAAGTGCGCCTGTTCACCTTCTTGTGCCAAGCGCTGGCCGGGATTGCCAGCACAAGCCTGCCTTCGACCTCTTTGACCAGAAGCCCCTGCACTAAGACCTCCTGGCCTGCATCGTCCACACCGCATCGGAGCACGGCCAGAGGGCACACAGCGTCTTCGAAACCGTCACCGGCAGCAAGGGCGTCCCTAGCAGTCAGAGGATCTCCGTCCACCGTCTCCTCGTCAGGCACAAAAGCCATCTCACCACTGGCCGGGCAAGGCCAGACCAGCAGCCGCAGCAACGGCTATCACGTCGCCGCGCGACGGCAAGCCTACACAGACACTATCCCCGAGGTCGCTGCCGACTTTGACAAGGGCCTTGCAGTCAGCAAAGCGCGAGTAGACTCGCACAGGGTTGAAATCCTCGCCTCGAAAAGAGCGAGCCACGATCCAAAACCTGGACCCTGAAGGAAGCCGATCCCTCCCTGAAGGACCCCGGTGCTCCCCACTCAAGCACCTGCGCAGGAACAACCCGATCTCTCGGCAAGCAGCACCCCGGCTGCGAGGGGAGAGAGGAGCCTGTCCAGCAGAAGCAGGCGTGGCAGGGGTTGAGGCAGCAGAGCGGGCCGGCGACCCAAAGTTGAAAGACCTAGGAACCTGGGCGGAGGCACCTGGAGACTGGCTTTGCACAACAGAGTACTGAGAGGCCTCAGACTCTTCCAGAAGCAGGGAGAGCCGCTCAACGACTCGACGAAGTTCGGCCACTTCTCGTTCAAGGGCAGAGAGGCGGCCAGCAAGGCTCATGAAATGAGGCGGTAAGAAAAGGGAGATCGGCCTTGAAGGCGGGAGGCAGCAAGCTGAAGCAGGAAGGCACGAAGAAAGAGCAGCAGCTCCAAACCTGGCCAAACCGCAAACCCTATCACAACCCCTAACCCTACACTAGGCCAGTGGACGCCGTCAAGGCACACAGGGCAAGAGAAATCAGGGTATGCGACGGGGGCCTCCGGAGAGGCGGCGAAGTGGTGCAACAAGTGAACGAGTAGTCCAACGGACGACGCGGACGAAGCACCTAAGAGGGCCCTGCTCATGAACCCTGAGCCCAGAAAACTTCAGACTCGTTCCGTCCCAAAAACATGCGAAGACATGTCAGGCTGTTTATCAAAATTCACGCCACCAATAAATTTATCATTAGCGTATCTATAAATGTCAATGCTAAACCCATCATAATAAGGACTCATTACATTAACCGCGCGACGAAGGAAATACATAAACTCAGCAATACTTGATATTTCTTGTTCTGGGAACTTCTT